CTACATTGATAGTTTTCTAGATAGAATTATTAAACTTAGCTTTAATTAGACGTTAGAGACTATTAATTATTACTATTAACGCCTAGGTATCTTTCCTAGCCACTTATTTATACTTAATAACTCCTATAATAAGGCATAATATTAGTATATTAGGGGTAAGATAATAATATAATATTAGATTTAGCTAATCTTAGGAAGAGAAAGAAAAGTATAAAGGTACTAATACCTCTATAAATACCTATCTCGTAGGCGGTTACTATAAAAGGACCCCTATTAGGTAGTTATATTATGATTTTCGAGCGGCAATAAAATAACTATCTGCCCAGACCCTTACTAAGAAGGTCACATAAACTGCGTCCAAAGGCCACCACCTATGTCAGCACATTTGGTGACACCCCCATTTACTCCGTACTCGCTCGGTCCGTCCACTTGCCGGTGACAGGTGAATTTTTTTTTTTTTTTTTACTTTCTTGCGGTGTGCTCTCCGTTCCCTTCTTGCCCTTGCACTGGTCGAGCGTTATGCGTCTCCTGGGGCTGGTCCTTTGATCCCATTTCTTGGTGGAGAAAACGAATGGCTGGCTGGCTGGCCGGGCTTGACTGTATATACATAATTCCCATCCATATACGGAATACGTTTTGCATGTGGTGGCAGCTCATGCTGAATACTTATATCACGCAATAGCGTTCTAGGCCGCCATCCTTGCGTTTAGGGGGTGTGATTCTGTCAAACAAGCGGAGACCTCCGGACATTATCTAAATCTCCTCGCCGTTGCGGTTCTGAACAACTTGCTGTCCTTCGAGTTGGCGATTTTCCAGGTGACGGTTGGCCCACCCATCCATCCAACTCGCTCTCAGGCTTCGGAATCAACCGGTCACCACCCGCCTGGCTCTCTTTTCTTTTCTTTTTCTTTTTATCCCATTTTCGAACGAGTCAGTCGGCTGCAAGTTAATTAAAACAAATATCGACAATCTGCATCTACTCTATCAGGGGTTGGCAAATCCAGCCACAAACATGCACAGGAATGCGCAGTGGAGACGAACAAACAAATACCTTCCCACGATATTGATTCGCTCCTCGATTCCTTCCGACATAAAATTGTGATGCGCGCCAATGCCGATGCCCTTGGGTACCCATCCGCCAGAACTGGCTGGGGATAGCGTTGGGTAGATTCGGTTGGGAGGTAAATTTTCACGAGGACCACTGAACTAGCCTCTGCAGCATCCGAAATCAGCTAGGGCGGTCTCCAGTGGTGAAACTTCATCTGTGCGCAAATACGATAACGACAATTTTTTGGCTGGTGTCTGTAGTTTATTAACGTTGCGGGAAATGATACGGTGCTCTACCACTGCAGGCGATGCTTCCCCTAATGAGCTGCTAGTCAGTCAACGCGCCTTCAGCCGGCAAGCTCATGCTATTTCTATGTTTGGAATTGGTTAAATTAGTCCACGGCACGGAGTACTTACTCCGAATCACCCGCTAAATTGCTCTGGCAAACCGAAATCTACGGAATTTGATGGGTACGGCTAGTGAGAACGATGGATTGTAGTCAATTAACCCGGATAATATGTATATACGTGGTCATTAATATATTGCATGTCGGTCGATCATATTGGAGATTGAACCTCGATCCACCCTAGCCGGGATCCTCTCCTTGTTGTTGATGTTTACCCGACCGGAGACCGAAGCAAACGAGGCATTGCGGGAAATCCACAAGTTGAAGATGATGTCGAAGTCGTAAAAAGGGCGTTCTCTATCAATTGACTAGCACGATGGGATAGTGAACTCGTGGCTGGACATGGCCCATGCCGAAAAGTCACTAAGACGCATGGCCTCCCGCGTAGTCTCGACTAAAAAACAACGGCTTTCTGTAACGAGGATAACCTGAAGGTACACTCTCGTGTTCAGATGCTTTTAACAGGTCCGAGCCTGCGATGTATCCGGTCCCTCATTCGGCGTGATGCCGTATTCTGATAAAACGTGGAAAAGAAATTATCATCCCACATGTTGGTGGCTATCAATGGATATCGTATATGGAGTATATAGTTGTCTGCATGCACGCTTATGTAGAACGCTGTATACCCCGGAGCCAATGCAGGCCAGGATATCGGTGGCCACATCTTCGTTGATCAAGGCAAAGTAAAAAGATGGATAAAATAAACAAACGTCCAGCGGGCATCCCGGATTCTCCCTCCCCTTTTCCACGGTCGTGACACCAGACGCCACGTCTTCAGCTCATCGCATGGGAATGCCCGACGGCCTGTCCAGATAGATAATCCGTATTGAAGAATGTCTGACGAAAGAGAGACTGGCAAGGAAAGCAGGGCGAAAAGTGGCAGGGTTTTTGCTGGTTTCGCATTAGCATCGCACGCGCTTGCACAATGCCGATCTCCCATTTTTATTTTTGAATTATGGTTTCTTTTTCCGCTAACGAATCAGAAAAGTAAGGAGAAAAAAAAGCCAAAGGGCTGATGGGGGAAGAAAAAGGAAGAAAAGAAGCTTGTAAAGAAGAGGGCAAACAAAAACATTAACGGTCGACGTTGGGTGGAGGCACGTTACTTTGTCCTTTTTCCACGTTTCACCGTTTCTAGAAGACACGACAAAAAAAGACGACGTCCATCAACGACGACATCAACAACCATCCTCATCCTCGTCTCTTGTCCCTCGTCCTCATCTCCACCATGCCGCGGCCAGCGTCCCCTGTTCGTGTGCCTGTAGCTAGTGACCTTGTTCGCAGTTAAGCCTTGATGCAGCATCCTGTCGCGTCAAGATACTCCGACTCCTGATAGCGGAGAACAGACACATGCGTCACCGTGAATCCTCTCTCTTCCCCTTTCAATCTTCTTGCTTTGCTCTCGGTAAGTTCCATGTTCAAATTCAAGAAGAGATCGCGCAGCCTGGCAGTGGAAAGTCAAATCCCGTTTGCCGTGGATACGTCGAACGCTCTTCAACGCGGCATCGTTAAGATTAAAGCTAACTAAAATAAAAAAGAAAAAGAAAAAGAAGGCTGAAATGCGACCACACCCCTCTTTTGCAGGAGCAGAGAGATTCTCCCATCACTTAGCTTCGGTGCTAGGTGTTAGGGTTGTCATGGACGATTGCTTCAGCTGCAGCTGAGAGAGAAATCGTCACATCTCGAGCGTCTGATATGACCTCAAGATATTCCAAAAAGGAAAACGAAAGAGAGGAAAAAGAGAGAGAGGAGACATCTCTCAAGCAGCTGTGTTAACTGCCTTGTAACTCTCGGCATGCATCCAGCGTGCTGGGTTGAGACTGGCTGGCTGCTCTCGCCGTGGTGGTATCTCCTGACGGGGATTCTCACACCTTATCCACTGGCACCCCTTGTCATTTTAATGTTCGTCACTGCCAACGACAGAACATTACACGGGGTTTAGCAACGAGCTTCTCGACGTTTTTATTTTTTTATTTTCATTTTTCTGATCAACGTACCTGGACCTGTGGATCTTGTCCTAGCATCCGTCAATTTTTCAAACCTCCAACGGTAGCGCGGTGGGTCTCGTCCTCGAATATCACACGCATCGTACGTACATGCTGTGTACACATACATATACTTACACACACGTTTCATGGGGGGGAACCTGCCTAGCGATATCGGGAATTTCGCTAATTACAGTCTAGGCTTGCGAAGGCTGCCACCCAGCAACTCTTGATCGAATCTCTCAGACAAGCCCCAGTTTATCCCGGTGAAGCTAATTAACGGCAGTGTCTCCGACCAAACGTTGTTTCCTGCTCATGGGCCACAAGTCGGCTTGCAATCCTTGAATAACTCTTTTCTGCCCATCAATGTTTTTTTTAATTTTACACAATGATGCAAAGAGGCACAAGTAGTTTTGCCGGTCCTGACATCGCATTTATTCATTTTAAAATACCTTTTTATACTTTGCCTGCCATCTCTTTTCTGATTTGATCAAGCCCCTCTCTTAATACGCCCTTATTATTATTACCATCCCAGGCCCTGCTTATGCTGCTATTATCATACCTATTATTATTATGATCTGTCGCCAGCGTCCCGATGGCCTCCATGACAATAAATTATAATAATAATACAACCATGCACAGAACTAGTTTTGCCTTCTAAGTGTGAGCTTGTCAGCTTCTTTCGACATCTACACTTCTCCCTTGACGAATATCATATGTTCCTTTGCTGATATAGCATTTTGCCATCTTCGATCACCTTTCTCACCAATATCATACTGCTTATTATATCATTCTGGCACTGCTTAGCTTGCTCGAGAGTGGGGTGGGCGTTCCTTGACCTTCCTTTTGCGCTGTATCGGCGAGCATACCTCACGCGATCCCGATCGTTTATACACGCAGGGTTCATCGAGTAACGTATCAAGTACGTGCAAGAGAGGCTTTGGATCAGAACGCTGGAGAAGAAGAGCGGCGGATAAGGGGAGAGACGGGCATCCCAGGAGCGGACCGATAGAAGACAGAAACTGGAGGGTTTAAGGTTGGAAATTCGGGACGTCCGGTATACATTTCCTTCCACCTATTACGTCCTTCTGGCGCAAAATTAAAGCAGCCTGCTAGAGCTTCAAAGCTCTAGCAGAGCTGGTTCGCAACCGTGACGCTGGCGGATCCATACCGTGACTATCAGATTGATTACTCCGCCCACGAACAGACGAAAGCTCAGGAGCAACAGAGTCAGTTGGTGTACGAGGCAGATCAACAACAGGCGACGGCGCTTCATCATGGGGGACGCCCTGGAGCAGCTTTCATTTCGAGTGGCCATAGTTCGCAATACCAACCGCAGCCGCAACAGCTTCACCGGAGCCCCCATCAGCAGCACCAACAGCACCAGCAACAGCACCAGCATCAGCAGCACCACCAGGCCTCGCAGCAGCAGTCTCAGCATTCGCAGTCTCAGCAGCAGCCGAACCAGCCGCCCCACGGTCCAGGTGCGGTTTTGATGCCCTCCCCCAGCCAACACGGAGTTGTACGTGAGTTGCAACAGCAGCCAGTTATGATTCCAACGCCGATGGTGCCACCGCAGTTGCCTCCTCACTTTAGTTCCGCTTCTCTTCCGCTGCCATACCCCGGCGACCGGCATGGAGTGAAAAGGCGGCGAGCGGATGATGGGCGAAGTGGAGGAAGTGATGATACAACATCTGGGATCGGTCTCTCTATGCTCCCCCAAACATCTCATGCTGACGAGCAACACTCCTCCGAGATGCTTTTGCCTGCTCCGGGCGATCATTCATCTCACCATCAACATTCTATACAACACGACTACCACCAAACATCTCCTATTCATCAACAACACCACCATCACAGACTACCTTCCCAGGCTACGCTGGCTGCAGTTCAGGGCGGCGATGAGCTGACATCCCCTGGTGGAGGCACGGGTTCGCAGAGTGTCGTCGGCCAACCGGGCATGCCTGACCCTGCTCCTCGTCCGAGGGGTCCAAAATTGAAATTCACACCGGAAGACGACAGCCTGCTCGTGGAGCTGAAGGAGAACAGAAACCTGACGTGGAAACAAATCGCTGAGTTCTTCCCTGGTCGGACCAGCGGGACCCTGCAAGTACGATATTGCACCAAACTGCGGGCCAAAGCAACAGTTTGGACGGATGAAGCAGTATGTCCTTTTTCCCTAGTTCTCGCATTCCCGATCCCCGTTATCCCCCTGTCCCCCTTTAACCTTTTCCCCTTTTCGAAACTTTAACCCGTTCGCGCCGTCCCAGCACACGCATAATACTCCTGCTGGTGCCCGTTACGTTGAGTGGTTGATGGTTAACTTACGTGTTTTTGTCTTCTCAGGTGCAACGCCTGCGTAACGCAATTCAAGACTACGAAAACGATCGCTGGCGTATCGTTGCGACAAAGGTCGGCAGTGGATTCTCGCCCGCGGCATGTCGAGAGAAAGCCGGGGAAATTCCTTCCTCGAACCCACCACCGATTTAAGCACAGCTACTCGTTCGGTTTCCACTAAAAATGTTTCTCGAACCCCGTTTCCATCTGTAAGGGCTGAGCAGCCTTCAGCCGCCCACCGATGTGCGACCAGCGTGGTACACTCAAATTTCTACGGGTACCTTTTTGTTCTAAACCACAAAGAACAGCTATACCTCTATTAATATCGATGTCTAATTCTATTTCTCTCATTTCCGACTTATTTCACTTTCACTTCGGGATTTGTTGGATATTTATCTTGGGTGGGCAGATTCAAGATCCGAGATTCGGCGGGTAAATCTTGAGCCTGCATTCTTCTGACATCTGGATGTTAAGAGAAAGCAGTAATTCTGGGCAGTCAAAAGTTCTTAAAACTTTAGAACAGACAAGCAGAAAAGTTTCAAAAGGCACAATTCAAAGCACAGAGGAGCCCAGGGGGGGTTTTTTTTAGGAAAAGAAGAAACAAATGTGTCACAAATCCGCTCAGACATGATTCCCGTCGAGTCATTGTTGTTGACGTGTAATCAACTGCACTGGCATTTTTTGTTCCCCCAGGGCCGGAGAGTGAAGCGGAATGCGGGACGGGGACACCTATCGCGCTTTATCCTATGGTTCCTGCAACCTTCCGCCATCTCGATGGTTCCCGGGATTTCATTTGTCTCGCTAAACATATAAAATGCCGTTGATTGGGCGCAGTTGATTTTGAATCTATTCTCATACCGCTCTTATGATACCCTTGTGTTCGTTCTTTTCCACTTTTCCACTTTGATACTCTCCCTACCAAGACCGAACAAATCCCCGGCATCTCTCCGTTCCTCGTGTGGAATTTCCGTTCTAACTCAAACTAAGGCACGGATGGGGAGATGCCATTTGCAGTTTTATTGATTATAACCCTTTTAATTACGATAAATACCCCCATTTATTCTTCATTTCCTTTGTTTAGATATATCCCGCGGTCGAGGCCTTGTCATTCGCTCCCATAGCCATTTGTTTACTTTTCAGATTGTCTTTTTTATATGTATTCCTCTCGTTACATCGTGTTCATTTTCATTTTTGTCACATTCCGCATAATTGTCGGCGTCAATGCTCCATTTACTCGACCCCTTTCCGTATATTAATGATTAGCTCACTTTCCTGGAATACAACAGGAAATTAACAGTTGGCATACAAGCATACGGAGCACACTCATTATTCATCCACGGCGGTTTTCTCTTCACTTCCTACGTTCAATTTCTTATGTCACGTTGTATTTTTTGTTTTGAACTTTTTTGTCTTGCATCTCGATGTTGGTCGTCAGCTGGAAGAAACGGAGTACAAGTGGGAGCGAACAGGATGCTGTGTTGAGGATGTCGATTTTGGTTTTGTATCTATGCATATATACCCCTTTTTTGTACTCCAACTCCATTTGGCGGATCATGGGTTGCGTCCCCCTGTTTATTAGTCGGTGTGGCTTCATTTTGCTGGTACCTCCTCATCTTCCTTATCTTTTTCTCTTGAAAGGCGGTTCTATCGCTTCACTCGTTTCTGTTATATATCGATCAATTAGCCCTCTTATACGAAATATATCTTGATTACGGTGTCTCCGTTCCATTGGCATGAAGCTAATGCTAATTCCTAGATTCCCGTGCTCAAACAGTTTCACCGAACATGCACCTAGAGCAAACAAGCCATAGTCCTTGCTAAGACACTTCTTGAACGGGTTGCACATTGGAGACACTCAAAGACCAGGCTGTGTGATGCTCGCATGCGGAATATAGATGGGTGTGCCTGACCGGGTACGCGGGTTAAACTCAGGGGAGTTATTTTAAAGAGAAAAGAGGGAATAGCAGTCCGGTTTGTTACTAGTGAACAACGTATAGGCTGTTTGCATTTGCCCACTTACAGTCATAGAAAACTGCACCACACAGAAGGGTAAGCCCTATGGCCGACGAGTAGAGTTAAGCTAGAATAGTGTAAATATTTTATTTTACTTTTCAATACTTGAGTAGGTGAGGTGAGACAGTGCATGAGGTCGCACACTTGTACAGCGCGCAGATACAACTCGACTGAGCCTGCAGGAACACCATTATGGTTTGGGTATCGATGACTTAATTCTATGCAGGGTTCCGTTATATTGACGCAGAGGGGCGCGCACAAGAATAACGCATCACAGTATTAGAAAGTCGGTCAACCTGCACCAATTTCTAGGTTAGCTAGCACTCGGAGATATGGGGATGCCAAATTCGGCAAACAGATTAAAATGAAAATTACCCATGCATGAAGGTGTGCAAGTAGCGTAAAAGCAACAAATCATCTAAGGATTCGGAGAAAGCCACGATCTGCGGTAACTCCCCGGCAAGTACTCACCAAAACCTAATCGAGGTTGCTCTTGTTCCTTTCTTGCATCGAAACTGTGTAGCACAGACTAAATCAGTAGTTTATCTATACCCAGGTCTATAAGAAGCGAGATATAGCTGCAGAGACACCTCTTTGTGTTCAACTAGGAAAGCACTTTGCTGCCCATATAAGGATGGTTACACCTGTTTAGAACAGCATGGATGAGTCGGTGACCCGGCAAGTCCAATCCATAGTTGAAAACAGAAAATGCAGGAATTGTTCCGGGCATTAACTCCTCGCATTAACCGTATCCAATCGAGCCCCTGTCTCCTAGAGCTGCAAATAAATATTATTGATGGGGTCGCTCGTTAGGAGGCTGAAACCGAACTGGGTGATTATCGACTGTATTATCCCATGGAACCCAGCTTGTTTGCTTTAGAAAATATCATTTAACACAGCCCGTGTATCACAAGAATTTGCCAGCAGAATATCCTTCCGCTGCCTTGGGCGCCTTTCAGTGGCACAGATAGAGTTGTCTGGGGGATACAGACCTGCAGCTAGTTTCGATTCATTTTCAAGCTGCAAGAGAGAATCGACGGCCAACAAGATACCAAATTAGGTAGCTGGAGATTTAACTCGCCGATGTAATGCTATTGGTCCAAAGTATTATATCGTAGTGGATCCCCTTGGGCCACACCATTGCAACATGACGGTCAACGGTGGAAATAAGTTTCACAAAGGGGAAACACTATTTCCGAGCCATCAGAGCGCGTGGTTTCTGCCTGCCCGTCGGCGAATTATAAGACTGGGAAACCCTACTGTCCGATTTTCGAGGCAAACCTACCACACCGTCACCAGGGTCCATGTGTACCACGCGGCTTTGAATATCAGGTTTCTGCCAGGATATAAGGGCCGGCCCATCCGTGGTAAATTTGGGAAAGGGTGCATTCTCACAGCTCGTGTTTTGGTAAGTTCAGGGTCAGCTAGCCCGTGTCCAAAATGTTCTGTAACCAACCCCGATCTGTGATCCGCATATTCGGATATTTTGTTTTGGGCCAGGCACTGATTTGCAAAAGAGTCATGGGAGCACACCCGGGTAAAAGCTAGCTGGATGTTGAGTGCACAAGCTTGTTTCCTTCACAAGGGAATTGGAGCCACAATTTTCCCTTGCTCACCCCTGTGGTGTGGAATACGATCGTCATGACCTGGTGATGGTGACAAGGGAACGAAACATTTAAGGACTAGAAGGTGCGTTACCCAAGCAATTCTTTGGAGTTTCTGGAATCGGAATGACCGATATTCGAGAACCAGGGAGCGACATTCTATGCGTGGAGGGTTATACAGGCACAAACGTGAAAACCAACACGCAAAATCGACGCCCAACGTATGTAAGCAGATCTGTCCCTGGGCGGTGCAAAGTTGAGGTTACAGGAGAATTGGGTTGGGACACAAGGATGATGATCTGGCTTCAATTTGACTGCCCATGATTATGTCGTGGAAGGGATGAGCGGCATGGGACACCGTTTTGATACAAAACCCAGCGCATAGGGTGACATTCCCGGGTATTTTTGGGAATATTTTGGTCCAAAGGATAGATATAAGTCTCAAAAGAGTTGAGACCGCCTTCCGCAAAGTGAGAAAAGGCCGGTGAGGTTTTATTATGTTTTGGTATACTCTGCTGTTTCTCCACGGAGGGTCGCCTATTTGTATCGGATATAACAATAAAATCAAAGATCGGAATCATGATCTGTTTTCAATGCCTTTTATGCTCGGGTATCATTGTCCTCATATGTACTCATGTCATTCGGTCGTGAGAGCCGGCAATATACCTGACCTATCAAAGGCATCGGATTCATTGTTGGTTGATCTCGGCTCAAGCTGATGAGGCAGGACATTCTCCAGCACGACGCTCTCGCATGGCTTGTAGACCTGATGAAACAAGAGCGAATGTGTCGAAGAGATGTAGTTACAGCATCAAACGTCGTTGCCTTTCCTCTTTGGGCGATAGGGCAACGTCAACTGATGACATAATCTATATCCACGTGATGGGTTTCTTATTGGTCAGTCGGGACTGTTTGGAATTATGACTAAGCAGTAACAGGCCATCCGGATTCAGCCATTTCCAAGCCAAAGTCCAAATTCACCACTCCACCTCATCTTCAAACCTCTCCCATCTACCACGACATACGACCTCACCACCGCCGTTAAATAAGCCAATTGGTGGTTATATAGGGATTGCGGAAAGATGTTCGTTCAACGAAGCGTTTTCGCCCTCGCGAGACGTGCGCCCATCAGAGCTGTCGCCAAGCGCTCTTTCTCTACGTCGTTCGTTCGATGTATGTATCATCTCTGTTCCTAGGCCTGCGAAAGGGCTTTCTCTTTCTTATTTCGGTCTATTTCTTCCCCAATTAAGCGAATCGAGCTTGATTTGGGGAGGATTGGATGTATTGATCGTGGCTAACCGGTTGCTGAATCATAACAGGCGAAGCCAAGTCAAAATGGGATCCTCAACCTGGTGAATCCGCTGGAAAGATGGTATCCTTTGAAGGTCCGTTAACGCAACCGCCTGCACTTAGTCTACCTGTTTAGACCCTCTTCCCGCGCTCAGCTGGATTTTCGAGCGCATTCGGGCGGTACCGTGTAGCTTTTATGGCTTTTATTCGAAGAGCCCCAGGCCGCGGCTGCAAATCTATCTCGAA